AACCTCTTGCACGAGCAAAACATGATCAGCACCAAGACTCCATGGGTGTTAAAATCATTACAATGTAATCTAGATTATTGACTCTAGTGCAAGTGGGAGACTGAAGGAAATATTCCCTAGAGGCAATAATAAAGTTGTTATTTATATTTCCTTATATCATGATAAATGTTTATTATTCATGCTAGACTTGTATTAACCGAAAACTTAGTACATGTGTGAATACATAGACAAAATAGAGTGTCCCTAGTATGCGTCTACTTGACTAGCTCATTAATCAAAGGTGGTTATGTTTCCTGACCATAGACATGTGTTGTCATTTGATGAACAGGATCACATCATTAGAGAATGATGTGATGGACAAGACCCATCTGTTAGCTTAGCATTATGATCGTTTAGTTTTATTGCTATTGCTTTCTTCATGACTTATACATATTCCTCTGACTATGAGATTATGCAACTCCCGAATACCAGAGGAACACCTTGTGTGCTATCAAACGTCACAATGTAACTGGGTGATTATAAAGATGCTCTACAGGTGTCTCGGAAGGTGTTTGTTGAGTTGGCATAGATCAAGATTAGCATTTGTCACTCCGTGTATCGAAGAGGTATCTCTGGGCCCTCTCGGTAATGCACATCACTATAAGACTTGCAAGAAATGTGACTAATGAGTTAGTTGTGGGATGATGCATTATGGAACGAGTAAAGAGACTTGCTCGTAACGAGATTGAACTAGGTATGATGATACCGACGATCGAATCTCGGGCAAGTAACATACCGATGACAAAGGGAATGACGTATGTTGTTATGCGGTTTGACCGATAAAGATCTTCGTAGAATATGTAGGAACCAATATGAGCATCCAGGTTCCACTATTGGTTATTTACCGGAGATGTGTCTTGGTCATGTCTACATAGTTCTCGAACCCGTAGGGTCTACACGCTTAGCGTTCGATGACGATTTGTATTATGAGTTATGTGTTTTGGTGACTGAAGTTTGTTCGGAGTCCCGGATGAGATCACGGACATGACGAGGAGTCTCGAAATGGTCGAGAAGTAAAGATTGATATATTGGAAGGTTATATATGGACACCGGAATGGTTCCAAAGAGGTTCAGGGATTTTTCGAAGTACTGGGAGGTTACCGGAACCCCCGGGAATGTTAATGGGCCTCATGGGCCATGGTGGAGAAGAGGAGGCAGGCCACGGGAGGTGGCGCACGCCTCCCCTTGCCCAATCCGAATTGGACAAGGGGTGGGCCCCCCCTTTCCTTCTCCCTCTCCCCTCTTTGCCCTTTCCCCTCAGCGTTGGAAGGGAAAGGCGGTGGCGAATCCTACTAGGAGTGGAGTCCTAGTAGGACTCCCCCCATGGTGCGCCACCCCTATGGCCGGCCTCCTCCTCCTCCCCTCCTTTATATACCGGGGTGGAGGCACCCCAAAGGCACAACAGTTATTCTCTTAGCCGTGTGTGGTGCCCCCCTCCACAGTTTACTCCTCCGGTCATAGCGTCGTAGTGCTTTGGCGAAGCCCTGCGCGGATCACATCACCATCACCTTCACCACGCCGTCGTGCTGACGGAACTCTCCCTTGACCCTCTACTGGATCAAGAGTTCGAGGGACGTCATCGAGCTGAATGTGTGCAGAACACGTAGGTGTCGTATGTTCGGTACTTGGATCGGTTGGATCATGAAGACGTTCGACTACATCAACCGCGTTAACCTAACGCTTCCGCTTTCGGTCTATAAGGGTACATGGACACACTCTCCCCCTCTCGTTGCTATGCTTCTCCTAGATAGATCTTGCGTGATCGTAGGAAAATTTTGAAATTGTATGCTACGTTCCCCAACAGATGTCCAAGGTACTGATATGAGTAGGGTCTGCATGTGTTCATGAGGGTGGATGTATGTATATGTTCATGGGTGTGGAAGTGCTATCTTTTCTAATGAAATACTCTCTCCATATCGAAATGTAAGACCCTTTCTGACAGTATTATAGTTATATTTGATACAGAACGAGTAAAAACCTTCCTTATGGTAAAAAGAAACAAAAAAACAAAACTCCGTTGTGGCACGCAAAACAAGCACATCCGCTTAGAGCATCTCCAACAGGCACACTATCTTAGCCACGCGCTAGAAAAACCCACATTTTTATGCGTGCGGAGCCGAAATGGGCGCTCCAACAGCCACGCAATAATCACGTGCGCAGTAAACTTGGTTAAGGGCGTAGAGGAAAACGGCATCGCGCGTGGTGTATTTGCTGCGCCTGCTCCCATGTGCTGGACATCGACGATTCGCGTGCGACTTCACCAACCGTCAGATCTGAGACCTCTAGGCGCCGGCGTCGCCGCCCGCACCTTCCCCATTTGCTCCGGTGACCCATCGGCGCTTCCCCCGCCTATCCTTGGGCGCCGCCACTACTTCCTCCACCTCCTCTCCTCGCTGCCGCCCGTCGACCGCACCATTCCCTCAATGAAGAGTGCCTGACGGCCATTTGCAGCGGTGATTAGATCCTTTGGTACATCATGAACGCTCGTGTGATCATGCATAAAATGATCATCGGGAATGAGCGTGGGCAAAATTTAGACTATTCTCAGTATGAGTTGTTGGGACGTCCCGTGCGAGCGCGGAGAGGGCTGCGAGGGTGGCCCGATTTATTGCATCCTATCATGCCATTCAACGTGCCGAAACGCATGATGATCCTCAAAAGGATCTAAGCGAGGAATGGTGAGCATGGAATGGACGACAAAACTAGTTTGATGTTGTATTGTTAAACTGTTTGTTGTATTGGAAGATAAACTATTGTTTGAGTTGTAATAATAATTGAACTATTTAATTGAATTTTTTTTGTGTGTTTGATCTTCTTGGTTCTATATAAAGTGAGAAATGTTGTTTGTGTTGGGTGCACGCTATAATTTTAGTGCGTCTGCTGAAGCTATAGCCCATTTGAAGACGCTCTAAGGCGGCCACGAGTGATGTCAACTGAACCGCGTAGCATGGGAATCCTGAGAACTAATCGTAGAGTATCTCTGCTCCGAACAACGAGGTCTCGACAAGAAGATCCGCCCTCTCAGTGGCTTCAACTCATGCACAGCGTGGATTTCTCTACATCTCAACCCACCTCGGCAGTTAAGTAATACTACTACTAGTAACTATTCCCTCTGTTCTAAATTACTCGTCTTAGAAATGAATGTATCTAGAACTAAAATACATCTAGATACATCCATACCTACGACAAGTAATTCGGAACGAAGGGAGTACTTGTAGATCAAAGCCGCATCGTTTCTTCTTCTTCCAGCGCCACTGCGCCTCCTCCGTCAGGTACAGCAGCATTTCATCTGGTCAGTGTATCTGTTTCCTCTTGTTCCTGGATGGAAGTTGTTCTTTTCGTCCTCTTCTTGCTTGGACTGGCTTCGAACCTCCCCCTCACACTTTATGTGTTGCCACTTGAAACTGTTAAGTTTTCTTTTCACTTTTATGAGCCTAGAGCAGCGTTTTGGGTACCGAGCAAAATTTCGCGATCTCACATAGTTACCGCGTTTACCGTCGCCCCTCGAGAAACACTCATACCGAGCAAAATATCTCGAATATTTTGAAATTTTTGAATTCAAACGCTCACTGTATATTTAAATAAGCCGCATCTCTTCTACATCAGCAGAACAGGTAGTGGCCTAGTGGCAAAGGCATAGTTTCCTTAGCAGCAAGTCGCGGGTTCGAGTCTTGCTTCGCAATATTTGAATTCAAATTTTGATTTTAAATTCCGGTGACCCTCGAGAAAAAAGAGCCGTTTGGGATCCAAAACCTTGCCTAGAGTAGAGCTTTTCTGAGTCAACGCAAGATTACAAGAAGAACAGGTGTCTTCAGGAGTGACGAATGTGTCGTGGCTTGATCCAGCCCGCTAGAAAATTTACAAAGCGCGGTGGGGTTGTGGCCAGCCAACCGTGTAAACTGGGAATCTAGTGGTTCTGCAAATGGGCGAAAAGAAACACAGAGTCGTGATAATCATGCACTGATCTGGAGAATCTGTCCAACTGCACTCCAGATCCGAAGTCAAAGGGGATCATAGTTTGCCACCCCTACAATATTTACACAGCTGTGCTCCTACTTAAAAAATGGAGTGCCTGATTAATTAATCAATTCTCGTGTATCATCAGCTCAGGTAGTAGTAGTAGAGGAGAACCACAACAACCACCGCTGATCTGAACACACACATATATATCAACACAGAGAGGACACGTTTCATTGAGTTCTTTCAAGGAAGAGAAGGATCCTTCTTCGTCTTCGTCTTCTCTTCTCGAGGTGTGTGCTCTTCTTATCCTGCTCCTCTTACATGTGTCTATGATGGATTTAGTTTTTTTTGGACTGCAAATATGTTGCTATCTACATGGACAAACTGTTGTGCGGTTCTCTTTATTTTGGCAAGGTATTCGCCGCTGAATTGTTGGATCCATGTGAGCTCAAACAACGATCGGGTCTCACTTTTCTCCACCGCGTTTGTGAAGCAATAAATAGAAATACAGAGTTCATACTCGCGGGACAAAAAGGACAAGATTCAGTGCCCATTTCTTGGTGGAATCCTCACTCCTCTTCCCTGCCCTTCGTCAATGGTCCTTTTCTTGGATAGCCTAGTTGAAAGAGATGGTTTGGGTTCTTTATCTCTGGCCAATGAGTGTGCTACTCTACTTCTCCTGCTTACATTCAACATTTTACGCAAATCACACGCATAGGTTTCATTTTCACGATTTGATTTAGTTCGCGTGGAGGTCATTGTCACACGTACAATTATTCCAACCGCTGATGCGTGCACCATTTGTCCATTTCTTGGCCCCATTATAAAAAAAATCTTCCTCCCCATAAAGCCCCAGCTCCATTGGTGATCTCCGTATGGAAAGACGCCACAAATTTCCAATAGCTGTGTGAGTCAAACTCGTGCAGATCAGGTTGGACTTTGATTGAAAAGATCCCATTCAATCTCCAGCTTTTGTGAGCTGTATCACTATAAAATCCCCCATGTCCATGGACCATGCTCTGGCATGTGCTTCTTCTTTGGTTCCCTGCCAAGAGGTACTCCCACCTTCATCCTACTCTTACTCCTGTTGGATGTTCGGCTCGGATTTGGGCTCATGTAGTCATCTTTTCTTTCCTTCTTCGTTCTTTGGATAATCTCATCTGTGGTAATTGGCATCTTATCAACTTCCCTGCTCATGTTAGGTTCTCAATGATTGGATGCTCTAATTATTATTATTATTTTCTAGTTTTCCTTCTTTTCTGCCCTGATATTTGCTCCTCGTAACAATCAAGAGCTCCAAATCATTCAGTTCATGCAAGCTTTGCAGGAAAAAAGAAACCATGGTTTCATTATCCACATCAGTAACTCGAAATATCTGACGAACGTAATTCTTGCAGGTGGTTGAAGAGCCCCTGCTGAATTCCTTGCTCTCCATCAAACAAGGCCTCAACATGTTCATCATAGAAGACAAAGGGGGCGCCATTGCCATCATGTGCGCCTCCCTCTTTTTTCTGGGCACGTGGCCAGCGGTGCTTACCCTCTTGGAGCGCCGGGGACGGCTGCCGCAGCACACATACCTCGACTACTCCATAACGAACCTCCTTGCGGCCGTCCTCATAGCGCTTACCTTCGGCCAGCTTGGGGATGCAAAGCACAACATGCCCAATTTCTTCACTCAGCTCAGTCAGGTGAGCTATCTTGGCGCAGGAAAAACTTGGGGATTCGTTGGTTGGCTGTTTGCTGATTCTGAATGAACTTTATGATGAAGGACAACTGGCCTTCAGTGATGTTTGCAATGGCAGGGGGTGTTGTGCTCAGTGTTGGGAACCTCTCAACACAGTATGCTTGGGCATATGTGGGCCTCTCAGTCACTGAGGTTATCAGTTCAAGCATGGTTGTTGTTATAGGTAAAGCTCATCTCCTCTACTACTTAAAGTGCAATGAATACATTTGATGATGATTATTTAGCTTCTGATGATGCATGTGAGTCACAGATTTCTGGATCACAATCTTTGTTCATATATAAGCATTACTGGAGGGGCTCAATTATTTAACACTAGTTATCTGACACGTCCAGTTGCTTTTTTTAGAAATAAAAGTTGGAGTTGCTTTTTTCAGCTAAAAGTTAAAGTTGCCTGAGCAAATTGGGCTATCAATCTTAGTGAGCTCACTTCACAAGATTCAAAAAGCTGAAGAATTGCAAACCATTGATGGCAATAAAAGCATTCTTTGAATTTCATTAAAAATTATTCATTGAATTCCATCGCAGTCTGGAAAAAAATTAGTGTTCACAATAAGAGGACAACAAACTATCACTTAAAGAACATTCTTCCGATAATTCAGTAGCTACACCAAACTAACGGTTGCTCTGCTATTATCCTATGTGTTCTAATCGAAGAACCAAGGCAAATTATGGGCCGCTTTTTTGTTTCTTGGATATTTATTCCATCAAGTTGCGTGTTGTATTTTCAGGCACGACACTAAATTACTTCCTAGACAATCGCATCAACAAGGCAGAGATTCTTTTCACTGGAGTGGCATGCTTCCTTGTTGCAGTCATCCTTGGCTCTGCTGTTCATGCTTCCAATGCGGCTGACAATGAAAAGAAACTCAGTGAATCCACAAATACCTACAAACTTGGGTAAATCCTTCCCACTTTCTTGCACAATTTTTTGCGGTCTAACTGAAACATCTTAACCACGTTTTAACTTGGATCTGTTCGGTGCTTTTGGGGTCCATCTTCATCTTATATTCCTTGCTCTGATCATCATAATGCGTACTTTTACAGGACGGATGGAGGTACGGAGAGAGGCAAACAAGTTATAGACAAAGGTATAAAATATGCTGCATAATTGTATGAACTACTGGCACTGTTGATGTTGGAGTTACAGATTTTAATTCTTAACTTTGTCTATTTCAGATGCTCCGAAGGACATGGAGAATGGAGCTTCTGCAGAGTGTGACACCAAAGCCGAAGCTGGAACTGCAGAATACCTAATTGAGCTCGAAGAGCGCCGTTCAATTAAGGTAACTGTAATTCCGTCATACAATCATCGCTGTAGAATAATTCAGATAGTATTTGATCTTTGCCCTAAATCTTGCATTCAAAACAGAGAAGCATAATTGTCACCACTAAACTTTTTCTGAACGGTAAGACCACTGAACTGATCTGGTGAAACTTCTTACTTTTCCAGGTATTTGGATCAAGCACCTTTATAGGGCTTGGGATAGTTTTCTTTTCTGGCGTCTGCTTCTCTCTCTTCTCCCCGGCGATCAACCTGGCCACCAATGACCAGTGGCACACCCTGAAAGACGGTGTCCCGCATTTGGTGGTCTACACCGCCTTCTTCTACTTCTCCATTTCGTGTTTTGTCGTCGGTATCGGGTTGAACATCTTGTTCCTCTACCGTCCAATGGCGGGCGTGCCAAAGTCATCCTTCAAGGCCTACCTGAATGACTGGGAAGGCAGGCAATGGGCTCTTCTTGCCGGCTTCCTTTGCGGTTTCGGCAATGGCTTCCAATTCATGGGTGGTCAGGCTGCTGGTTATGCAGCTGCTGATGCTGTTCAGGTTTGTCCAATTAATGCTTAGCCTTAAAAGAAAAGAGGAAACTTTTCTGCACCTTTGATTCTAACTGTTTCACATTGCTGTTCATCAGGCATTGCCGCTTGTGAGCACACTTTGGGGTATCCTGCTATTTGGGGAGTACCGAAAGTCGTCGAAGAAAACGTATACTCTGCTCGTGTTCATGCTGCTCATGTTTATCGCAGCTGTAGCAACACTCATGGCTTCAGCAGGTCACAGGAGCACAAAATGATCTGTTTCCCCATCCTTTCATCAGTTATTCTACCTTGCAGCTCTTTCTGCCACAAGGCGAAGAAATCCAGACAGGAAGACAATGGACTTGAGCCCTTGACCAAGGAAGCAGGCCATGCCAACACAAAGTGAATTCCATTCATGAAGTTTTCGTTTGAATGGAGCTGTACATAACCACAAAAATGGCAGATGTTGATGCATATTTCAAGTTAGTGCAGGATATTATATATAAAAGGATGTGTTGTTCGTTCTTAAAGTCTATAGCCAATAGTACTAGGAAGCAGGACTCGAATGCTACGAAAGATCACTATGAAGTTACTATGTTTGATTTGGATGCAGTTTAGCTTCAAAATCAAGAGTTTGAAATGGTGGGAATGATTGGTTTGACTCTGTTGCTACTAAGTAAACTACTCGAGTCTGCACAAATTGACATCTCATTTGTGAACAGGATAACATGGTATATTTTCCTTTCCTCCTAGCTCCCGTGGAACTCCCTCCCCCTTCCCCCACCGCCTCCGAAAGGTGCCGCCGGACGAAGTGAGAGCAACTTCAATGGGGCGACCCATTTCGTTCGTCTGCATCGGCGCGGACAAAAGTGGTGGCCCAATGCGCCGGCCAAAACCCAAATCGCGCCCGCTCCGACGCATTTACGGCCCAAATTTGCGCTCCAAATGCATCGACGCGGACACGGAATGGACGCCACGCGTGCCTTCTCGGTGTCCGCCACGGCCCTACCTGGCGGTCGTCCAACCGCCCGCGGCCAACTTGGTCAGCTTAATTTATGACCTCGGGCCCACGCGTCAGCGACGGCGGTCGTCCTTCTTTAAGCCGACCGTGCGGCGATGCCGTCCTCATCCAAATCGCCGTCCACATCTAGCAAGCTTTGCTCCCCTGTCGCCGGCAAACCCTAGCCACCACCACCACAGCGAGATGGGACTCTTCTCCGACGCCAGCAGCAGCAAGGCCAAGGGCAAGGCCCCAGTCATCCCTTTCCCATCAGAGTTCCTCCCACCTCCGTCGGCGCTGGATCGCCGGCAGAGGCAGCGCTTGAACGTGCCAGTGCACCAGGCGGAGTGGCACTGGCAGCACCGTGTGCCTCTCCCGTACCCCGACGCCACCCTGCCGCATGACTGACATCTAGATTCGGAGAGGATCCCAGTGCCGACAGCTCCGCAGTCGGCAAGGGCGCACGCGGAGGAGATGCGGCGCCGGCGGGCGCTGCTGACGTCGGAGGAGCGCCGCGACCCCGCCTACGCAACCGACTCGCTCAACTGGGCGAGGTGGTTCGCCTTCGAGCACGAGGAGGCGAGGCGATGCGGCGTGCGCGAGGTCGACCGCAGTGTGCCGCTGCCGCCGCTCATCGTCCGCGATGAGGACCAGGCGGCTGAGGACGCCTACCAGGCGGCGCTTGCGGCAGTCTACCGGGAGAGCGAGGAGGACAAGCGGTGCAGGGTGGAGGCAGTGGAGGAAGAGGAGGCTCGGTACGAGGCGGCCATGGCGTAGGCCATTGCCCGCTCCGCGGTGGGCGACTGCGTGCTGCCGCCGGTGGCCCGCCGTCCCTTCCCCGAGGCCGCGTCAAAGCCGAGCCGGAGCCGCAGCTGGAGCCGTCCCCCATCGAGCGTTACTCTTGGACGGGAGTGTTGGGGAACGCAATAATTCAAAAAAAATCATACGATCATGCAAGATCTATGTAGGAGTAGCAACGAGAGGGGAGAGTGTGTCCACGTACCCTCGTAGACCGAAAGCGGAAGCGTTTAGTAACACCGTTGATGTAGTCGAATGTCTTCACGATCCAACCGATCCAAGCACCGAACGTACGACACCTCCGTGTTCTACACACATTCAGCATGATGACGTCCCTCGAGCTCTTGATCCAGTTGAGGACAAGGGAGAGTTTCGTCAGCACAACGGCGTGTTGACGGTGATGATGAAGTTACCGGCGCAGGGCTTCGCCTAAGCACGACAACGATATGACCGAGGTGTGTAACCGTTGAGGGGGGCACCGCACACGGCTAAGAGAAGACTTGGTGTGCCTTTGGGGTGCCCCCTCCCACGTATATAAACGAGGGGGAAGACGAGGCCGGCCCTAGAGGGGGCGCGCCAAGGGGGGGAGTCCTACTTGGACTCCCGGTCCAAGTAGGATTCGCCACCCCCCCCCCCTTTCTATTCCAACTAGGAGAAGGAGGGAAGGGAGAAGAGGGGAGAAGGAAAGAGGGGGGCGCCGCCCCCTCCTAGTCCAATTCGGACCAGCCCATGGGGGGCACGCGGCCACACCTTGAGGCCCTTCTCTTCTTTCCTGTAAAGCCCATTAAGGCCCATTACTCTCCCGGGGGGTTCCGGTAACCTCCCGGTACTCCAGAAAATACCCAAAACACTTCGGAACCATTCCGTTGTCCGAATATAACCTTCCAATATATCGATCTTTACCTCTCAACCATTTCGAGACTCCTCGTCATGTCTGTGTTCTCATCTGGGACTCCGAACAAACTTCGGTCATCAAATCACATAACTCATAATACAAATCATCATCAAATGTTAAGCGTGCGGACCCTACGGGTTCAAGAACTATGTAGACATGACCGAGACACATCCCCAGTCAATAACCAATAGCGGAACCTGGATGCTCATATTGGCTCCTAAATATTCTTCGAAGATCTTTATCGGTCAAATCGCACAACAACATACGTTGTTCCCTTTGTCATCGGTATGTTACTTGCCCGAGATTCGATCGCCGGTATCATCATACCTAGTTCAATCTCATCACTGGAAAGACTCTTTACTCGTTCCGTAATGCATCATCCCATAACTAACTCATTAGTCACATTGCTTGCAAGGCTTATAGTGATGAGCATTACCGAGAGGGCCCAGAGATACCTCTTCGATACTCGGAGTGACAAATCCTAATCCCTATCTATGCCAACTCAACAAACACCATCGGGGCACCTGTAGAGCATCTTTATAATCACCCAGTTACATTGTGACGTTTGATAGCACACAAGGTGTTCCTCCGGTATTCGGGAGTTGCATAATCTCATAGTCCGAGGAACATGTATAAGTCATGAAGAAAGCAATAGCAAATAAAACTAAATGATCATTATGCTAAGATAACAGATGGGTCTTGTACATCACATCATTCTCCTAATGATGTGATCTCGTTCATCAAATGACAACATGTGTCTATGGTCAGGAAACTTAGCCATCTTTGATTAACGAGCTAGTCAAGTAGAGGCATACTAGGAACATTCTGTTTTGTCTATGTATTCACACATGTACTAAGTTTCAGGTTAATACAATTCTAGCATGAATAATAAACATTTATCATGATATAAGGAAATATAAATAACAACTTTATTATTGCCTCTAGGGCATATTTCCTTCAATCTCCCATTTGCACTAGAGTCAATAATCTAGTTCACATCGTCATGTGATTTAACACTAATAGTTCACATCTTTATGTGATTAGTTCACATCTCCATGTGACTAATACCCAAAGGGCTTACTAGAGTCAATAATCTAGTTCACATCGCTATGTGATTAACACCCAAAGAGTGATCATGTTTTGCTTTGTGAGAGAAGTTTAGTCAACGGGTCTGCCACATTCAGAGCCGTATGGATTTTGCAAATTTTTATGTCTACAATTCTCTACACGGAGCTACTCTAGCTAATCGCTCTCACTTTCAATATGTATCCAGACTGAGACTTAGAGTCATCCGGATTAGTGTCAAAGCTTTCATCGATGTAACCCTTTACGACGAACTTTTTGTCACCTCCATAACCGAGAAACATGTCCTTATTCCACTAAGGATAATTTTGAGCTTTGTCCAGTGATCCACTCCTGGATCACTATTGTACCCTTTTGCCAAACTCATGGTGAGGTACGTAATAGGTCTGGTACACAGTATAGCATACTTTATAGAACCTATGACTAAGGCATAGGGAATGACTTTTCATTCTCTTTCTATTTTCTGCCATGATCGGGTTTTGAGTCTTTACTCAACTTCACACCTTACAACTCAGGAAAGAACTCCATCTTTGACTGATCCATTTTAAACTCCTTCAAAATCTTATTAAGGTATGTACTCATTGAAAGTCTTATCAAGTGTCTTGATCTATCTTTATAGATCTTGATGCCCAATATGTAAGTAGCTTCACTGAGGTCTTTCGTTGAGAAATTCTTATTCAAGTATCCTTTTATGCTATCCAGAAATTCTATATTATTTCCAATCAACATTATGTCATCCACATATAATATCACAAATGCGACAGAGCTCCCACTCACTTTCTTGTAAATAAAGGCTTCTCCAAAAGTCTGTATAAAACCATATGCTTTGATCACACTATCAAAGCGTATATTCCAACTCCGAGAGGCTTGCACCAGTCCATAAATGGATCGCTGGAGCTTGCACACTTTGTTAGCACCTTTTGGATCGACAAAACCTTCTGGTTGCATCATATACAACTCTTCTTTAAGATATCCATTAAGGAATGTAGTTTTGACATCCATTTGCCAAATTTCATAATCATAAAATGCGGCAATTGCTAACATGATTCGGACAGACTTAAGCATCACTACGGGTGAGAAGGTCTCATCGTAGTCAACTCCTTGAACTTGTCGAAAACCTTTCGCAACAAGTCGAGCTTTGTAGACAGTAACATTAGCATTAGCGTCAGTCTTCTTCTTGATAGTCCATTTATTTTCTATTGCTTGCCGATCATCGGGCAAGTCAACCAAAGTCCACACTTTGTTCTTATACATGGATCCCATCTCAGATTTCATGGCCTCAAGCCATTTTGCGGAATCTGGGCTCATCATCGCTTCCTCATAGTTCGTAGGTTTGTCATGGTCAAGTAACATGACCCCCAAAATAGGATTACCATACCACTCTGGTGCGGATCTTACTCTGGTTGACCTATGAGGTTCAGTAGTAACTTGATCTGAAGTTTCATGATCATCATCATTAGCTTCGTCACTAATTGGTGTAGGAATCACTGGAACTGATT